ACTCGCCCTCGCATGGGCCCTCATCTGGGCGATTGAGGCCTCCTGCGCCTTTCAGGCTGCTAGCTTCGTCTTTCACTTCGACAATGTTGCTGCCGGACATGGTGGCTTTGGCAGTTTTAGGCTGCCGAGGGATGCACAGACTTCTCAGCCCACCGCTTTATCCCACAGCCCAGCTGTGCTTCGACAGTGTGCTCAGGCTGTCTGCACAGTTATTGGACGGCATGTTCCGTCTCACGCTGGCTTTGCTGGCAACGAGCTTGCGGATGTCCTGGCGAAGTTTGCCAGCAGGCATCCTGACGCGGTCGAACTCACTTTTCGGCCTCATTGGCCCAGCCTCGTTGTTAGGCATCGACTTTCGGAATGGGCATGGTTGGCGCTGCGCGATCAAGATGACTTGCCTGCTCTAGGAGCATTTGAGGCTGAGGCTCGTCGACTTTTCGTTGCTGCGGCCGCCAGGACTTATACCTTTTCAGCGGCAGAGCACAGCCAACCTATCAGCCACGGTTTGACAGTGGGCACGTTGGGCGCGCAGCTCCGCGCATGCACTCTTAATGTGCTTTCTCTTCGAGAATGGGACGACCTGCCTCAGGGTCTTGCTGTGGTTGGCAAGCGGGCCTTGCTTAAGCAACAGTTCTTAGGCAAGCAGCTTCATGTGATCGCCCTCCAGGAAACCAGGACGCCTGGAGACTGTGTACAGCCTGATGGGGACTTTGTCATGCTGCATTCCTCGTGTGACTCACAAGGCTGCTTTGGCTGTGCCATCTGGTTGAGCAAGACATTGCCCTTTACTGTTGCGGGACAGAGGGTCTGCTATCTCTCCAAGGAGGACTGTACGGTCGTTCATGCTGAGCCTAGACTGCTAATTGCGCAGGTTGACCTACCTGACTTTCCTGTCACCTATGTGTCGGCCCATGCTCCTTATGATGGGCACAAGTCGCATTGTGCTGAGGACTTCTGGTACAAGGTTGGTCTTGTAGCTGCACGCAGGCCGTCTGGATCGCAGCTTGTTGTTCTCACTGATAGTAATGGACATCTGGGATCGGTCAATTCGAATGCGGTCGGTACTGCGGGCGCAGAGCATGAAAACCAGGCTGGGACAGCTTTTCATGCCTTTCTTACCGATTTTGGACTGTGCCTGCCGGCAACCTTTTCTGATCTCCATTCTGGTCGCCACTGGACGTGGAAGGCCGGTTCCCTCTCTGGGCATAGGCTTGATTACATTGCGGTTCCCAATGAATGGCTTACTGGAGAGCTTGCCTCGACAGTCTGGTACGAATTTGATCATGTACATGATGTCGATGACCACCAGCCTGTTCTCCTTTTCTGTGAACTTGTTCGTCGGACTAGGCGCAATGGGGCCATGCCTCCCTTCAAGGCACCTAGGCCTCGGCCTGATACAGATCCAGGGCAATTACAGTGCTTTCAGTTCGCGATCGACGCCCTGCCCAAGATTGACTGGAATGTTGATGTCGACCTGCACTATTCTTCATTTGTTCGTTCCACCATCTGGTGTTGGTCAGAGTTTGTGCAGCCTACTCCGACTGCGCGCTGCAAGCCATTTGTCTCCGAGGAAACTCTGGCCACTATTCATCATCGTAAGCAAGTACGAGATTTCCTCGCGTCGGAGACGCATATGTTCGAGCGTGCTAGGAAACTGGCGGGACTCTTTGCCTTTTGGCTAGAATGGCGGCAAGCCGTGCCGGATGCTGCCCAGGTACAGTTTCTTGCAGGCCTCTTCAAGCGCGGGCGCCTGAATGTTGCGTCTGCAGTTGGCTGCTTGGGCCGGCTCCGACTCTTCCTTCGAAAGGCCATTCGGAGGGACAGAGCTGCGTACTTGAGTCGCCTTGCCGGTGAGGTTGCAGAGGCATCCCTCCAGAACCCAAAGCAACTCTTTGCAGCTGTTTACAAGGCCTTCTCGGTCGTAAAGTCCAAGCGCAGAGGAGGATTTTGCCCGCTCCCCGCCGTACTGCTGGAGGACGGCAGTCGTGCCAGGGATGTTACTGAACGAATGCAAAGATGGACCGAGCACTTCGCGCAACAGGAAGGAGGTCAGATTGTGGCGGCGGCTGGGTACGATCAGGCCGTCAAGGCGCAGATGCCAGATCCTGCGGGTGTTCCTCTTTTTGACATCCGGTGTGTTCCTACTTTGCTGGATGTTGAGCAGGACATTCTTCAGCTCCGCAATGGCAAAGCCGCAGGGCCCGACCTCATCACCGCTGACATCTTGAAGATCAATGTGCCCAGCAGTTCCCGGCGCCTGTTGCCAATCTTTGCGAAAGCAGCTCTGTCATGCAGAGAGCCGATTGTTTTCAAAGGCGGCTGCCTGATCACTCTTGCGAAGAAGGCCTTTGCCAGCCTGAATTGCGCCGACTTCCGCAGTATCCTCCTTTCGAGTGTGCCTGGCAAACTTCTGCATCGATCACTGCGCAAGCGTCTGCTTCCACCGCTCCAAGAGGTTGTTCTACCACTGCAAGCTGGAGCTTTGCCGGGTGCTGCGCCGGAGTTTCTCACGCTTTACTTGACAGCCTTTCAGCGGTGGGCCCAAGCCAACAAGCGCCGATGGGCAGTTGCTTTCTTTGATGTCAAACAGGCGTATTATAGAACTTTGCGGCAACTGGTTGTTGACTGTGACAGTGACGCTGGACTGCAGAAGGTTTTATACGATCTCGGCCTTCCTCCGCCTGCGACTTGCGAACTCAGAGACCTGCTTCAGAAGGCTGCGGCCACGTCGCCGCTGGCTGGGCATCAACATCTAACAGCCCTTCTTCGTGATTTGCTTTCAGCGACCTGGTTCAAGTTCGAGGCCTCCCAGTTTGTTGCTGTCACGCACAAGGGCACTAGACCTGGCGACCCTGCAGCGGATGTTCTGTTTGCCTTCACCTTGTCTGCCCTGTTTCGCGCTATCGACACTTGTCTGTTGGAACATGGGCTTGTTGACGCACTTCCGCCTGTTCAGCATGAGCCGCTGGTTGGAGGATACGCAAGCCCGGAGCATCTTCAGTTTGTCAGTTGGGCTGATGACTTTGCCAGGCCTTTTGTGGGAGGCTCACCTTTGGAGCTTGTGGATAAGCTGAGGCGTGCCACCAAGTGTTGTACTGAAAGGGCTTCTGCGTGTGGCATTGAACTCTCTTTTGGCAAAGATAAGACCGCGGCAGTTTGCGACATTGAGACGGTACAG